AATAGAGTGGCTTGCCATCATTTGTACTTATCTCATCTCATATATAAAAATTACTCTTGTGAGTTATTTCTCTTCAAAGTTCTTTGTGAACTTTATCGATTAAACAAGTATAATTCCTATACTTGTGGCGTCATTCCTTCCATCATGATTCCTAAATTCCTAGATTAATATCTAGTGGGTTGAAGACACTATCACCACCCCTCAAACAAGTTTACGAAGACTGGGATTGTGTTCCTTAGCATTATTTCTTCTTTGGCGTGTTTGAGATACAACAACAAACACTATCTCCATTTCATCATCAACACCATCATCTTCATCCATCAGCACCATCAATTCCGCAACCATCTCTATCTTTTATTTATTTTATTTCATTCCTTATCTTTATCATTTCATTAATCTTCTTTTATTAATCATTTTCCTTTTCTTATCTATGTTGCAGCCAAGCTTATAATTCAAGGACATCAGTGCTTGTCAATCCTAGATCGGGACACAATAAGGCTATCTACTCTCTTCTCCCAAAGCATGTAGATCACCTTACATCAAGCGGTAATCAGAGCATAGTTGAATTGACAACAAAATTGTCATTGGCGTGCAAAGCAAAAAGAACTTCAACAGAGAAAAGACTCCTTCAACAAAATTGGAGTGCAAAAAAGTAAAGACAAAAAGAAGAAAAAAATCAGAAAAAAAGAAAAGAAAAGAAAAGAAAAAGAAATTCAAAAGGAGAAAGCAAGCCAAGGAAAAGTGCTCTACCATTATAAGAACATCAAAGAGGACAAACTATACTAAGAGAAGATAACCTTATTGTTTCTTGAGAAAGGTTGCAGTAAGTGTTGTTTCTTAAATTGTAAGTCACCTCTTCCATTTTCAATCCTTTCATTTTCTTTGTCTTCAACCATTTCCTTCTTTTAATACCTTGAATCCTTTCTTCTACCTTTCCATTTCTTATATTCTTCCTACCCTAACCTTATTTGCAGCCGACGCACACAAGGAAAGAATTAACTTGTTATAATCTTGAGTAAGTTCCTCAAAGGACTTAGCAAGAGAAATTGAGTGGAAAAATGCTATTGAGAGAGTGAGATCAGAAGGGGAATTGTTAAAAGCCATAATTATATTCCCGAGAGTAAACACGAGTGTTGAGTGGAGTGATCTTATATTATTTCTTTGGAGTGAATTTTGATAGGCTTTGTGAGTGTGCTGATAAGGTTTATTTTTTTGTTTATCTACTAACCATGTCTCAAAGTCCTAAAGGAAATGCAGGTCAACCCAATTTGCAAATGCAAGCATTGATTGGAGAAATGATGAGAATGTTTCGAACAGAAATTGATGTTCTCCATGAGAAACTAGACCAAAGACAAGATCAACCATAAACTCAGAAGAATGATACTCCTCGGAGGCAACAACCTCTTTCAGAAGTTGATGTCTTAAACAATTATGATGAAGAAGAACCATCATTGATACATGGACCTAGGCGTGCTAATGTTGATGATAACATGAGAAACATAAAAATCAAGATTCCTCAATTTCAAGGAAAAACTGATCCGGAAGCATATCTTGAATGGGAAAGCAAGGTGGAACATGTTTTCAGTTGCCATAACTATTCGAAACTCAAGAAAGTAAGATTGGCAGCCATGGAGTTTATCGATTATGCTTTGATATGGTGGGATCAACTTATTATTACCCGGAGGAGGAATGGAGAGAGAGCAATCTCAACATGGCTCGAAATGAAAGGTATCATGCGTAAACATTTTATTCCTACATTATCACCGAGACATGTTTCAGAAATTGTAGAACTTGAAACAAGGCCAACGGAGTGTAGAGGATTATTATAAGGAAATGGAAGTAGCAATTATTCGAGTTAATACTGAGGAGGATCGTGAAGCGACCATGGCCAGAATTCTTATCGGACTCAATCCCGAGATTTCCAACACACTAGAGTTGTACCATTACATAGAACTTGATGAAATGGTGTAAATGGCTATGAAAATAGAGAGGCAATAACGGAGAAGATCTATATCTCGCACTACCATGCCTTCGAGATAGAGTCCTAAAAATTTGAAGAAGTCTACTCCTACTCCTATCAAGGAAAAGGCCGAATCCTCAAATGCTTCCCAACTCAGCAAGGATAATCGAGGAAAAGAGATCCCTGAACGATCAAGAGACATCCGTTGCTTTAAATGTCTTGGAAGGGGGCATGTATCCACACAATGTCCCAACCGAAACACCATGCTACTACTTGGAAATGGTGAGATTGAATCAGACCATGAAGAAGAAGAAGCGCCCCCGCCACCAACAGAAGTTGAAGAAGAAGCGGAAATTGGTGCTCCAGTGGAAGGTGAAGCCCTAGTGGTCAAAAGAAGTCTAAGTGCTCAAGTGGTAGAGGATAATGCACAACGGGAAAACATCTTTCATACCCGCTGCCATGTGAATGAAAAGGTGTGTTTCATGATCATAGACGGTGGAAGTTGTACCAATGTGGCAAGTACCATTATGGTGGAGAAATTGGGATTAAAAAAGTTGAAGCATCCAAATCCCTACAAATTACAATGGATAAATGAATGAAGAGAACTTAATGTCAACAAACAGGTGATGGTTCATTTCTCCATTGGTAAGTACAAGGACGAGGTTATGTATGATGTTGTTCCTATGCATGCTAGCCATTTACTCCTTGGAAGACCATGGCAATATGATAAGAGGACCATTCATGATTGTTTTACCAATCAGTATTCATTCAACCATGGAGGGAAGAATATCATCCTAACACTCTTGACGCCTAAACAAGTCCAAATTAATCAAATAAAGATGAAACAAAGTGTTGAGGCCATGAGGAAAGGAAAATCGAAGTTAATCAAGGAGGAAACCAGCCCAAAAACAAGTGCTTATACATGTAAGTGCTTGTTACAAAGATGTCTATTGACAAGATGCAAAGTTAATGATGATTTTTCTAACCTTAACAATTCAGGATTTTCCTTTGATTTGCAGGATGATCCAAACGACACAATCTATCAATTTGGTGAACTAAAGGAAGTGACTTTTCAAGAGCCAACAAGTGCGACTATTGAAGAGCAAAGAGTGGTAATTCTTCATCCAAAGGATGTGATCCTTCAAGAATCAAGAGTTATGCCTAATGAAAACCAAAAGGAAGTGATTCTTCATCAAAAGGGCGTGACTTATGAGGACATCACCATTCCAAGAGTCATCACCTTTCATGAATCAATGCATCTATCTATGGAAGAAAAAAGGGGCATGATTTTTGTAATACAAAAGGGCACCAACATTCAAAGCCAAATGTCTTCAATAGACATGAACTTTGAACCTACATTTTTCAGGAAGTATTTCTCAACTTTAATGTTGTTCGATCCCATTTTTACTAATGAAAGTTTTCTTTTCAGAACAAGAACTTTCAAAGCATTCTTTCAAAATATATGAACCTTTTCATAAAGGTACTTATTGAATGGAAGGACTCAAGGAAAAGAAGATCTTTCGATTTGAGGACAAATCGATTAAAAGAACGGGAGGATGATGTGATCCAATTCAGCATCACCCTTGCAATGGAAGAAACTTTCTAACTTTACACATATATATGTTTATTTCAAATGCTATAATATAGTTATTTTCATACATATAATATCTAATAACTTAATCATTAATATGTGATATATAAGTTATTATATACTATAGTTCACATTCTTATATTATACATTATATAAGTTCATATACTTAGTTTATTTCTTTATGTTATGCATGTAGGCACATTCAGCCAATACTTGGGAGCTACATTGGAGCTAAATGGAGCATGCAACAACAAGGATACTTACATGGGAACGATTAAGAGAGCATAAGGAGAACCACCACTTAGGACACTTCAAATATGTCCTAAGTCAAAATTTATGAAATCGTACCTTTTCGCGAATAGTTTCCACCTCAAGAGGTACCTTTTCACAAGGAGCTGCCACAATGTTCACCATGCTACAAGTCGCCTATGGCCAGCTCACCTTTAGCTCATTCACACCATGAGTAGCTCAAACATGAAGGGTTACCTTTCTCAAACATTGTGACCTTTCATGAATGTTGCTGCCCATGAAGATGCCTTTACATCTAAGAGCATGTTGGTGATGACCTTGTAATCATTGGAGGCTTAACTCACCATGGGACATGATATAAAACTTCATACATATTCGACCACAACACATGCTATGCACATGAGAGCATTTGGCGCCAACATGAGGAGGCACATCACCATTCGGCCAAAGAGAAGCAAATGGCGCCAAGATGAACAAGCATGCCCATTCGGCCAAGGGAGATGCCTTCCAATCCTTAGCCGAATCATCAAGACCCTTTATGAAGGGATAGCCGAACTAACACCAAGCCTATAGACATATTCTTTCATTTTAAAGCATTATGTATCTTAATAAAGTCATGTATCTAGCCGAAACATCATGTAACCATTCGGCCAAGCCCTCTCATTTCCTATAAATAGAGTGGCTTGCCATCATTTGTACTCATCTCATCTCATATGTAAAAATTACTCTTGTGATTTATTTCTCTTCAAAGTTCTTTGTGAACTTTATCGATTAAACAAGTATAATTCCTATATTTGTGGCGTTATTCCTTCCATCCTGATTCCTAAATTCCTAAATTAATATCTAGTGGGTTGAAGACACTATCACCACCCCTCAAACAAGTTTGTGAAGACTGGGATTGTGCTCCTTAGCATTATTTCTTCTTTGGCGTGTTTGAGATACAACAACAACACCATCTCCATTTTATCATCAACACCATCATCTTCATCCATCAAGACCATCAATTCCGCATCCATCTCTATCCTTTATTTATTTCATTTCATTCCTTATCTTTATCATTTCATTAATCTTCCTTTATTAATCATTTTCCTTTTTTTATCTATGTTGCAGCCAAGCTTATAATTCAAGGACACCAGTACTTGTCAATCCTAGATCGGGATACAATAAGGCTATCTACTCTCTTCTCCCAAAGCGTGTTTCAATGATGCATTATGAATTCCATAACAAGTTATTTTAGCTTAGAGAATTACTCTCAAACAGGTTGGCCTAAAAGGAGAATCAATGAATTTGGTCTTCCCAAAGGGACTCTCAGCTGTTGAATGGATTCGAGGTTCACTAGCTGCACGGAGCCGGCAGTCTATGACATGGTACAAGGTAAAAAAGCCGAAGGGGTTTATTTTTTTATTTGTTTTATTTTCGTGAGAAGCTAAATCATGGCTTGGATATTGTAGGCATATTTAAATGCCCCGGGAGGCAATGAAACGTTGGCTTTGGATATGCGGGGTATGGGAAAGGGTCAAGTATGGATCAACGGACAGAGCTTAGGAAGATATTGGATGGCTTATGCAAAGGGTGAATGCAGTACTTGCAGTTACTTGGGGACGTTCCGACCTACATAGTGCCAAAGTTGTGGCCAGCCAACCCAAAGATGGTATTACATCATTCTTAAACTCCATAAATGACTATGCCTAGCATAAAATACTATCCTACTTGAATCCTCCTAAACTCGTCGTTCTTGTCTGAATATTTTAGGTACCACGTCCCGAGATCATGGCTATAGCCAACACGAAATTTGTTGGTAGTCTTTCAAGAACTAGGTTGGAGATGAATAAAAAATCTCTCTTGTGAGGAGATAGGTTTTATAAACATTAACTGGACAAAATCACAAGTGAGAAAGCTGTGAAGAATAGGGATATGAATGGAGAAAACATTCCAGTTTCACTGTCTAGATTTTATTTAACTATTGTTTAACTGTGTTGCTTGGGCAGCCAACGCCAAATTCACCATGTACGAACACTGTGTAAAGAAATGGGTGAAAGCTAGTCCGAGTTCGAAATCCCATTTTTTGGCCACCATGTTCTCAAAACGCAAAACTAGTAACTGTATCGTTCAGCATTGATTTCAATAAATGAATCAATATTGTTTCCAGATTTTTTTTTCCATTGTTTGGGAAGTTGAGCGTAGAGCACTTGATTCTAAGCCCATAAAATAAAGAAGGATTTTAATCTAGTATTTGATACCATACAGATACAAGGGCAGAAGCAAACAGTGGATACACACAAACACAAACTTAACCACAATCACATAGCATCTGTTAAAAGATGGATATTTATGGAACTCTAGTATCAGAAACAAGTTCAATCTTGAAGCAGTAGAATTGAGCTTCTATTTCATATTTTAAGCATCGAGTTCAGCGGAGTGCATGGCTATTTTCTGCTCGATTTCATCTTTCCTTGACCCCACAGTTGTGTCAACTATATTGCTTCCTTTGAGATAAATTAAAGTTGGCCAGTCTGTTATAAAACAAAACCATAAATTGGTGAATAAAGGAAATAGCTACCTCTACCATCCTCTGCTTCAGTCAAGTTTAAACAAATCATAAAAGCTAAATTCACAGTGGCGAAGGCTGAAGACACGATACCTTCAATTCATCCACATCCACCTTCAACACAATGAGATTGGGCAGCTTCTTGGCAAGTCTGCCAAGACTGGTGCAATAAAACGACATGGCCCGCACCATGAAGCTGTGAAATCCACCACCACCTATCCAACAAAATCTTTGCTTAAGCATAATCAAGCTTTTCAAATATCATGGGGAAAAAGAAAAGACCAAAACATGATGGACTGATGAACTGGAACAAAAAAAAGCATATCCATGAAACAAAGATTTTTACCAGTTTGTTGGACTCCTTTGCTAACCGAAACTGCTGATCTCATGAATCAACACTGTGACAGCTGATTACTTGTCCCTCTGCCGCCATGCTTTTCACTTCGATTCTATCCTGTCAAACGGAGAAGCAGATAAAACAGCAGAAGCAGGTAGGTACTTTTCTTTGCTCCTTGAATTCCACGAAACAATTCCACTATATAGGGTAGTTTAGAATCCTGTTACGAGAATGTCATTGGTAAATGTCATTACGAAACACGTGGCGGCGATTTCTCATACGTCAGTGACGCAATCTTTTGCAGGTCAACGGCCAAAATAGAAATAGTTTCATGTTTTCCGTTAGGAAGAGGACACGTTGCAGGGGATGACGGTATTGAAATTTGCATTTACATCATAGAAATATAACGTCTCACATCATTTTTACCTAAATATCACCCATAAAAATATTTTTTATATTAACATTTTCTTCGACGAGACGAATTCGCTAATTTTTTTATATCAAATTATAATTAAAGTTTATAATTGCAAACGTAAATTAAACATGACATTTTATTATAATTATTAACATAAAAAATTAATTACTTAAGATTATATAAATTTTATTTAAGACCACTAATAAAATATAAATCATAATCGATTGATATGAAAAATTTATCAACGAACGTAAATCGTGTATCTAAATCTAATCAAGGGTTTAAAACAAAGAAGATAAACATAAAAATAAATTAGTGTTATCTTGATCAGTTATGACGATGTCAAATCCAATCTTAAGAGAAAGAATAAATAAAAATAACGTTCAAAAAAAGTACAGAGAAACATGTCATGAAGTCAAAAGAAAATGTATCATAAAAACAGAGAAAATGTCTCATAAAGACAAAATTATTAAAAATTAGAAAAAACAAAGATATGATATAACAAAATAAAAGAAAAACAATGAATATCGACGGTTGACAACTAACCCTAAAGTTAATGTCGTCGTCGATCACAAAGATAAAGAAAAAAAAGAATTAACCAAAAAGAAAGAAAATTAAGGTTGAAAATTCTTATATTTTTTTAAAATTAAAATTTTAAATATTATAATATGATTATAAAATATTATATATATATATACTTTTTAATATAAATAAATTTATGTATATCTAAGTATAAAATTACTCAAATCTAAATTATATAAGAAAGATAATATTTTTTTATCAATGAATCATTTTTTAATAAAAATACCAGCTAGGGGTGTTCATTAGGTTAAAAAAGTGGCCGACCGAACCGAATTACCATTAACCGAATTAACCGAACTTTTTTCTTTAACCGTTAATCGAACCGAATAAATTTATGTTAATCCGGTTAATTTTCGAATTAGACGAAATGTTTTAAAATTTTCTAATTTATATAAAAATTGAATATTTTTTAATTCAAAAAATAATTTTCAATTAATTTAAATAATATATAATAATTATAAATTAAAAAATTTATATGGATTTTTTTAATTAATTAATATTGATTTAGGTTTAAAAGCTATTGGATCTTAAATTATTAATTGGGTTTTAAATTGTTTGGGCTGAGCTCATATGTTATATATAATATATTTAATATTTAAAAATTTAATTTCGGTTAATTAATCGATTTCAAAACCGAATTAACCGTTAATCGAATTCTAAAATATTTATTAATCGTTTCCTGATCAAACTAATTCGATTCATTCGATTAATTCGGTTAAAACCGAAAACTGAACACTCCTAATACCAACCACTTTATTGAAAGGATCAAACATCAATAAATGGTCTCTGAAACGGTTTCCATTGAACCTCCTTAAAACAATTAAAAACCAAAAAACCCCAAAAGTTCAATAATAAAAGACATACATATAAATATACATAATCAGTTCACGAACATGTTTACAAATAGAAACATATAACACAACACGTTAAATATATCGAACATATCAAGAGGACACACTTATAATAGCTAGTACATATTGTTTAAACCTTACGCATCCCACAATCAGTAATACTAAGTTGAGTATCTCGAATCAAATGTGGGAGTCGAGCTGAGCTTAACAGAGATGATTCATATTTACTAGAGAGTGATGCGAAAACATATGACCACAAGCATCGGTTTCTTAAAAAGATCGTTGGAGATGAGATTTTTAACGAAACTTTGAATCTCTTCTTCTTCCGAAAATGCTAACACTGGGGACAAATAATGATCCAAAGATACCATACGAACGGGGTCGATAAGACGAACACAATGGTGTCAGAGGTGTTCAACGCCACCTCATGGTTAACGATGAATCGAAGAAAATCCAAAAACGGGTGTAGTGTATAAGAAAGAGAGTTTTAGGCGATAATGTTTCAAAACTAAAAAAAAGAAGGTACAAGTAACCAAATACAGAAACAAAATGGGTAAATTATAACATAAGTCCTCGCACACTTAAAAATTCATGTTCATGCACTGACATTTATCGATAATTCATTTTAATCCAATTTTATGGTGGTACAACTCTCTCCCCTTAAAAGAAATTTCGACCTCGAAATTTTTACTTGGAAGAAAATCATAAGGGAACATCTTTAACAGAAAAGATAAGGTACGTGTCGGAGCGGTAACATCTCAGTATAGAGACATGGAAGACATTATGAATGTGCTCAAACTCAGGTGGTAACTCAAGTTGACATACAAAATGGTCTATTGGATGTAGAATCTTATAAGGTCCAATAAATCTCGACTGAACTAACTATAATGGCCAAATATGAGTACACTCTTGAAATGACTTATCATCTGACAAAATCTATCACCCACACAAAACTCAATACCACTATTCTTCCGATCAATAAAAGATCTTCGTCAAACAAAACATGTATAAGGTCAGATTCCACAATCCTCTTCTCAGATATCTCAGTCAACATAATAGAATACAACAACTATGGTCATACAATGCCTCATATAGTCTCTCCTGAATATCGATCTGAAAATATTAATATAGGAAAACTTAACCATTAGTAAACAATCCACCTAACTATTTCAGAACCTTGTAATGCAACCTTTTAACCTATTTTTCAAAATCTGAATAACTCGCTCAAATAATCCATCAGACTGCAGATAATAAGTTATAAGTTTAACTAGCTCAAATAATCCATCAGACTGCAGATAATAAGTTATAAGTTTCAATCCCGTACAAAGAGCCTCAAGAAAGTCTTTTAGAACCGTGACGAAAATCCCAGACCATCAGACTCAGAATCTCACAAAAACGAACAGTCTAAGAAGTATAACTACAAGTTAGTTATCAGAAGTATAACTAGTTTGACCCAGAATAAAGTCAATTGACTTGTCAAGTTAATCGGTAAAGCACAAACTGAATTTTACTTGCACAAAGTCAAAGGCAATCCACTAAAAAAGTCTACAGTTACTCACTTCTACCCTTACTCTGAAATCTTCATAGTTTCTAGAAAAAATACTCGTAATTGACTATTTCCCTTTAAGATAGTCTGAATCAGAGTGATATAGATGTTATATCCTTTCAATTTTTAGAGTATATCCAATACACATATATTTCCTATATACGGTTCCATTCAAAATACTTCAAAACTTAAACTCATGTTTTAGGATAATGAACATCAAATACAGAGTTAACAATTCTCGTGGAAGAGGTGTGATAGCGTTGAGACACTTTTCGCAAGTCAGACTAAATTAGAATGGTACAAATATCATATTTATTAACCCAACGAGAAAGTTATTAGA